ATGCCACAGAAATATCACTGAAACTAAGGGAGACAGTTCAGATGATTCAGATGCTACAAAGAACAGTGATGATGATTCAGACTTAGATGACAGTAGAGGTTCTAAACACAGAAGTAACGCCTCCACTCTGTCTCCGTGGCTTAAAACAAGTTCAGCTTCAGTGTTGTCGTCTTCTTCTGTCAAGAAAACACCCACTTCTACCTCCTTGAAGCCTTCCTCGTCTTCCTCTGCTGCCCAGATGCTGTCCAGATTTGCCAGTGGGACCAGTATAGCTAAGAAGCAGGCAGCAGAAAGAAAGAGAAAGGCATATGCCTTAGGAGAACCTGTCAGCTCTGAGGGGGAAAATGAGGATACACTGAGCAGCGAGTTTGAGGACTCAGACAATGACCTGGACTATGAAGATGGGATGACAGAACTGGAGAAGGAGATGATTGCGTTCTTCCAGGACGCATCGATAGATGAGCTGTCGCTGATTGCTGGCTGCTCGGTTAAAAAGGCCCAGAAGATTGTGGAACTGAGACCGTTTGTTAGATGGCAAAGCCTGGTGAGGGAACGTGTGTTTGTTTTTAAATAAACAAATCATCGATTACACAGCATGAAGGTGATTAATTTATGTCAAAACTATTTTTACAAGGTTTCACTGGGTAAGGGCTACAGTCATTTATAGTCTGAAACTGTTGTCCTGAACAGCAGCAGAATGACTTTGTGACCTGTTAAATCTCATTCTCACCACATTTAGTTATTGAGTGAACTACACTACGGTCATCTGTGTGGACACGAGACATATCTTACAGTCACCTTCACATCCTGGCACATCTCACCTCATGCTACCTTTTATCAGCTTTTTAACATCATTTTGATTTTTTTTTTTTTTTTTTTTTACATCTACTATCATCAGAGTAAATCTTAGCTGAAATGGTGCACAATAAGTTTCACAGGATGCCGTCATGCAACAATAGGGCAGTTGAATACAGTGGAACCTTGGATTGCGAGTTACCCGGTTTGCTAGTGTTTTTCAAGACGAGCAAAAATTTTGATTCGATATACGAGCAAGGTCTCGTAATATGAGTAGTATGTACACTTTGTCTGCCGAGCGTCATGTGACGCATGTCACAACTGAGCCAATGGTTCTTGTGCCTTACTCATATAGTCAATATCTGTACTGCAACAATGGGCCCCTCACGCCAGCCATGATTCTTTTCAAAGGTTAAGTACAGGTTAATTAGTTAAATTTTTACTTCATACTGTATTTTGTATTACTGTAATCATTTTTTTATGGATAAGTGGTTGTGGAACGAATCATCTGAGTTTCCATTATTTCTTATGGGGAAATTTGCTTTGATATACGAGTGATATATGATATACGAGTGCTTTGGATTATGAGCACGTTGTCGGAACAAATTATACTCGCAATCCAAGGTTCCACTGTATTTGTGACACTTATTCCTACTACTCACTACTAATAGATTGGACAGCATCCACTGACTTTTATAGGCACAGACACTTGATGTATTGTGTGAATTATAACAGTATGTTCTTTCCTGTTCAGGTTGATGTCTTTCAAAGGGAAAATGGACTTTCAGAGGGGTTGCTGTTGGGCTGCAGAGCTGTCCTCAAAGAGCGGAAGGTTGTCCTGGGTCTCATGTCCAAATGTGAGACCATTTCTTTAAAAATGGTCAAACAGGTCACTGAGGTGATGGAGAAGGGGACACGGTCCATGAAACAGCCCAGCACACTCAACAGCCAGTGAGTAAAATGCATGTATGCACATACGGTAACTAATGATTAGTCTTATGAAATGGTTAAACTATTAAGTTACTTTATAAGAAACTTGAATATATAACCAAGGAGTTGTGTGGTTTAGCTTTTTTTGTTGGTGGTTTTGTTCAGTTTTCACTAGTTGCTCATTTCAAAGGCACAGGTTGCTCACAAGTGGTGCTTTTAGGTGAGAACTTATCGTACCCAAAATCTTGTGAAGTCACGTGGCACTGAATATATTTAAAATGAGAAACAACCCATCTTTTCATGACGTGTATGCACGGTGTGTTAAGTTTGCTTGTAGACTATATGATCAAATGAATTCAGAGGGTGAACTGTTTTGTAATGCCACAGTTCAGTGTCAAAAACAGGTTACACATTATTTGAGGAAGCAAAAATGTGTTAGTATAATTGGAATATGTTACCAAACTTTTTTTTTTTAGTATTTTAAAACTTTTAATCCAGAATCTTCTCTTATCTTTACAATCTGAACCTAGAGTACAAAGGTGTCAAGCTTGAGAAGAGACTTCAGTCCTAGTGTTATAACCTGTGGATACTGGTTGATGCATTATCATCGCCGTGCTGAATTTTTTCCTTCTTGCAAAAATCTTTTCTTTTTACCAAGTCTGTTGTTTTATGTCACAAGCCATTCAATGTGATCAGCATGTAAAATATTAAGGTCTGTAGGTCTCATACAGATTTATACATACATTGAACTTGCTGTGTCTTTAATGTTACAAGTATGTTGGTTCTACATGTTTGTTTTAACTGGTGCATTAAGACTTATCAATGAATTAGGGTATTTGTTTTTATAAGACTGAGAGATCCAGTTTTTGTTCTCAGCCTGTTGTTGGTTGTCTTTCAGGTTCCAGCTGAAACCCTATCAGCTTATTGGTCTTAAGTGGCTGCTGCTTCTGCATGAGCACAAACTGAGTGGTATCCTCGCTGATGAAATGGTAAGGTAACTAGACTACGGCCTGTGTGAGGAGGCAGGGTGCACTGTCAATGTTTGCAGGGTGGTGCTCACAAGCTAAAAAAATAAGGGAAGACCCTAAATGTAATGTAAATTTATTATAAGCCACGCAAGTTTGGAGATGCTTCCAGCTGATTCAGTGGGTGTTATTGTTTCACACTGTGTTTTGCGTGGATATGTAGCCATACTGCAGGTGAATAAACAGTAGTATGTGATCTGAAACGTGCTCACATATCTTCATCGTCTAGCCACTCTTTATCTTTGTAATTGAAATTTGACTGACTGTATCTCTCCCTCTGTTTCTCCTTCACTCATGTCAGGGTCTGGGGAAAACTATTCAGGCAATAGCGTTTCTGGCCCACTTGTACCAGAATGGAAACAAAGGCCCTCACCTCATCACTGTGCCGTCATCTACGCTGGGTAATGATCTCTACAAATCACACATTCTGCTGCCTTACTTGATATTATGTAATCTAACAACATACACTTAGATGATAATAGTCAGTGGTGATTCTGGAGTCTGCTGGGGCCCCTTGGTGCCCCTCCAACCAGCATTCACCACCATCAAGACAGGCAGGAGATGTGGTGTCTATTGCACTGAAGGTGGGTGCTGACTGAACTGATATGACCAAAAAATAAACCTGGCATATCATGTCACAAGGAATCTAGAGTGCAACACAAATATAATATCAATTAAATGTAGAATACTGCACTTATAGTAACCTTTATCAGCATTTGAAGGGGCCTCTTATCTTTCTCTTTTGCTGCTGGTGCCAGAAACCTAAGTAATGATCTTGAGGAAAGATAATAAAGTGGTATAGTGTATGATAGTTATAACAATTAATAACATCAATTTAAAATGTTTTCACGTTATTCAACTTTTGAATGGTCTTCTTGGGCATATTCATTGTTTACTGTTTACATTTCATTTGGTAGGGACAATGTTAATTTATCATAGCTGCAATACAGAGGATTAAACTTTTCGTGCTGGAGCTTGCACTGTGCCTGCTTTGGATTTTACTTTTACAGCGTAATGAAAATACGCAGTTTTCAGTATCATGAAACCACTAGGCCTACACAACAGATATTCAAAAAATGCAATAAAATATACATACCACACTGCACAATAACTTACACCTTATAACTTATAGTAGACTTGTCCAAATTTCTTTGCATCTAAATTAGCATTCATAGCTTGACTGTTAGCTTGGTTGAACACAGTTTTCATCAGTTAAAAAGAGAAAAAGTATTGTCCAAGTTTGCTGATTTTTCTGCAACCTGCTAATGTAGCTAAGCTAGCAAGTCGACTGCCGGTGTACCAACTCTGCCACCTGGCTGCATGCACTTGACTCGGTCGCATCACATCCAGCAGAGCTGGACACACTAGGCTGCTCTGCTAGCTAAGTTATCTACTGTTAAAAATCAAAGTAAACAAAAGCAATAATGTGATGCTAGTGGAAGTTAAGTTATTCAACTGTCTCCCCCCCACAGTTAAGGCTACACTAGCAGCATTTAGTTATATAGTATTGTATTTAATCATTATCTGCTCCACTTACCACTGTCTTGCTTTTTCTCCTCTTGCTCTTTTTTGCACTCCCAGAGGGCTAAGTCCTCTTCATTTTCTTTGAGTGGCTTTTGTTGTTGTTGTCATTAATATTCCTAAACTTAATGAAGTAACATTATTGCTATGGAAAGTAATATTGTCATGTACCATGTATCCACTATTATTGATATGGCTGGCTGTGGTGTTCATAACAGCAAATCTGCTTTAATTTGCCATAGATAATAACTTGCATGTCAGTTCACACTGTATTATTTAAGTTTCTTTAACTTCTTGTAACAATTTTCTGTTAGTTTGTAAAATTGCCATAAAAAGAAATTTAAATCATTCATCTGCAATTTATGCCAATTTTTTTTCACTCTGTCTCATAGATAACTGGGTCAGAGAGCTGAAGCTGTGGTGTCCAAGCCTTCAAGTACTTGTCTATTATGGTAACACTGCTCATTCATCTTTTCACAATGAAATACTGTCTCATGTTGCCTTCATTATGTCAACTCTAGGATTGCAGTGGTATACTGGTTTCATGGTATAAAAATGGATGGTTATCATACCATACACATTTGCTTATTACCGGTATTGAAGAAAACAATGCAATGTGTGTGCACCTTTCTTCCCCGACTGCCTGTAAGACTCTGCATAGGGTGCCACACACATATTCAGCGAACAAATGGCAGAGAGGAGGAGGCTGAAATCACCAAACTCCCTCCACCAAAAAAGAAATTTAAATCAACAGTGCAGGATTACTTTGGATACCCCAAAACAAAAACCTTCGACAACATCATCTCTCAGTAAAGGCCAAAGTATGTGTTCTGTTTACTTTAATCCCAAACGTTGGTTATAAAATGCACTATCAAAATAATTTTCCACATTGTCTGTTCGTTCGCTATTCTATACCTTACAAAAGAACTCGCACTGACCCCAGAAGTGCGCACACACTTTCTTGGCTCACATAAATGAGTATGTGTGTGTGTGTGTATGTGTGCCTTTGTATTTCTTATATTATGGGGACCGAAACCTGTTAATACACTCACATTGTGGGGACTTGGCCATACTTGTGGAGACCAGCCTCTGGTCCCCACAAGGGGTGCAGGACATCAGTTTTACAGCTGTTCAGGGAATATTAATCTACAAGTAGCTGTAGCAATCACGGCTCAAAGGGACCGCAAACACACTTTCAAAAGAAATCCTTTAGCTGCACTCAGAATGCAAATTTTACCTAACAGCTGTCATAACAGTTCTTCTCTCACTGAAACAGTAAAAGGTTCCTCACTCGCTGCTGTTGGATCTGTGATTTTAGGATGGCAATGTGGTTTAAGGTTAGGTATTAGGGAAGTAGTGGTTATGGTTAAGGTTAGAAAAAGTCTATAGAAAATGAATGTAAGTCAATATAAAGTCCCTACAAGGAATGAAAACACAGCATGTGTGAGTGAGTGAAGGTCCAGACAGGTCTGGCTGCACTGTCGTGCACCTACAATTAATTAACAACTATTTTGATAAATGTGTAGAGCACTGTGACGGCATGTCTCCATATTGTCAGAAGTTTTACAAAGCAGTCATTCAGTTAATGGAGATAATAATCAGTAGTTGCACTTGGGTGTTCTATACAGGATCTGTGGAGGACCGCCGCTACCTCAGACGTGACATTCTTGATGGAGATGTTGAGTTCAACGTCATTGTGACAACGTGAGCAAACACACACAGGGTGTCTGTATCGTTTTACAGATCATTACAGTGGGGGAACTAGTGGAACACTAAATTAGTGTTGAATATATTGGCCATGAAGCAACTTTTTACCCTCAGCCGAACACAAAGTAAAGTTATTTACACAAAGTTATTTTGTTTTGCTTGTGTTTGATTTGCTTAACAGGTATCAACTGGCCATAGGAAATGAGTATGACCGTGGCCTTTTTCGCAACCTGCGTCTGAGCTATGCTGTGTTTGATGAAGGTCACATGCTGAAGAACATGAGCGCACTGCGCTACCGCCACCTTATGGCTATTAATGTCAGTTCCCTTAAATTTTGTGGTTCTTTCTACCACAACTGCTCCCCATTTCTGTGGTATCTTCATGTGTGTCATCAGAATTCTTTGCCTTTCTCTCTTTCACACCCAAAGGTGTGGCATGTAACATTTTGGGATTTCTCTTAATGTCTGTGCTCCTGTAGGCAGAGCATCGCTTGCTGCTGACAGGAACCCCTTTACAGAACAACCTTTTGGAGCTGATGTCGCTTCTGAACTTCATCATGCCTTCCATGTTCTCCAGCTCCACTACACAGCTCTCCAAAATGTTTTCTATGGTAAGTGTTTGAGTGTATGTTCTCGGGTGTTTGCTCATGTCTCTTATGTGATTGTTCCATGATCTTGGACCCTCGCTTAACCCAGAAGGATCAAAGCCATTCCAAGTCTCTTATATTGGCTCTGAGGAGTGAGTAGTCTGTTATAGAAGCCATGAGTGTGGTGATTGGTGTTTGGATGCTTCAGATGAAGGCCTAGTCATTAAAACGGTGTTTCCTCAAATGCTCTCTCCTCACATGTTTTTTGCATTTTTTTCTCACATCTTACGTGAGCAGGATTAAGATGCAAGTGAGGGAAACAATCTGAGAAACACAGATTGTAAGATAAGTTTATCTGAACAGGTGATAGCTCTGCCACTTGAAGCTGGATGGCCCTAAATAACTGCCTGCACACCACCTGGAAATACAAGCCTGGCCTCTTCCTGTTTATGGTTAATACTGAATCAGCCTTGAATTATATGTTAGCTAAATATTCAGCTATTCTGATATGAAAACATGATTTTGAATCGCAAAACACAACCTCAACTACAAAAACACTCTTAGTGTTTCATAAATAACAATTTATTGTTCTGTCAGAGAGATGAAATAAATGTAAGGCATGCAAACAGCCCTAAGCAATTATTGTATAATTATGGTGTAGGTATTTAACATTGTACATTTTTTGTCAGAAATCCCATGAGGAGCAGAGCCGCTTTCAACGAGATCGCATTGCTCAGGCCAAACTTATCATGAAACCATTTATTCTTCGAAGAGTCAAGAGCGAGGTGAGTTGATATCATAAACTTACAAAATTGTACTGTGTAAATATTATGTATGTGCTAAGTGCGTTCTGAGGGGATGTTCTAATTGGTTGGTCTTAATGTAATTGTTAAAAACTTAAAAGAATCCTGTGAACATTTTTATTCAGCCTTGTAATTAGATAAGAATCTAGGAGTCTTCATTTAAACAAACTTGACTTCATTACCAGTTATTACTTTATACTGCTGGAGCATATTTGTAGCCTCACACAAACAGATTTAGTTTAAACCTTGTGCAGGTATTGTGAGTATCAAATGCTCTTTCCTTTGTCCAGGTTCTCAGGCAGCTGCCAGCCAAAGAAGAGAAGGTAGACTTCTGCTCAATGAGTGAAAAACAGCATGTTCTTTACCAGGACCTCTTCAAAAAATTCAAGAGTTCTACTAGTGGCGAGAGTAAGCCTCATTTAAATGACCGTGTTTACTGTTCCGTTGTACACCACGGCAGTATTTTGTGCAAATAGCAGAAGTTAGTCCTTTGTTAATAATTTCTCCCACGTCTTTTCTCTGCAGAGCGTGAGTTGTGTAATGTGATGATGCAGCTGAGGAAGATGGCCAACCACCCTCTGCTTCATCGACAGTACTACACTATAGAAAAGCTCAAAGCTATGAGCAAACTCATGCTCAAGGTGAGTCCTATCACTCTTCATAAATACTTTGCTTGTTTTCTGCACTAATGTCCCTCAGTTATTCTTCCCTCTGCAACATCTTTTGGGTATTTTACTTCCTCCATATTAAATGTTCCTCTGTTCTTTTTTTCTAACCCTCCCTAGGAGCCGACTCACTTTGATGCAGATGCTGCTCTGATCCAGGAGGACATGGAAGTGATGTCAGACTTTGAGCTGCACCGTCTCTGCCAGCAGTACTCCTCCATCAGCTCCTACCAGCTTGAAACCAATCTCCTGCTTGACTCTGGGAAGTTCCACCACCTCACGGAGCTGTTAGCCTCACTTAAAAGCAAGGTAAATACAAATGTCTGTGGAGTGTTGGGGAGTATGTGCAGTTGCAGTGGGTTTTTAAAAATTTTTTTAAAGAAAAATAACGGTAACTCTCTCATCCTACAGGGGGACCGAGTTGTATTATTCAGTCAGTTCACCATGATGCTGGACATTGTGGAAGTGCTGCTGAAACATCTCAAGCATCGTTATGTCAGACTGGATGGATCCACACCCATAGCTGACAGGTTGTGTCAGATTCACACATTAAAGTCAGATCAGCTATATGTAAGATTTTAATCTTGTAAAAAGTCTAGTCACCTATACTACTAACGGTTCATTATTACAAGGCGTTCTTGGCAATGTGACTATTTTCAGATAACCATAATGTCAGTCTAGTACAGTTGCTATTATAGCTGTTACTTAGGAGCGAAAAGGTTTGCTGTCAAATTGAAGAAGATGGAAGCAGGAATTGACATATTATGGCTAAAACCTTTTTTTTTCCTGTCCTGCAGGATTGTGTTGATTGACAAGTTTAACACAGACCCAGATATTTTTGTGTTTCTGCTGTCAACACGTGCTGGTGGCTTGGGCATCAACCTCACCTCAGCTAATGTTGTCATCCTACATGACATCGACTGTAATCCCTACAATGACAAACAGGCAGAGGACAGGTGTCACCGTGTAGGCCAGACCAGGTGAGACCCGGAATGTTATTAACACTCTGTTCTTATGGGAGGAGTTCTACCTGATGAGGTTTTGGAATTGGAATTCCCTTTTATTATATCAGCAATTAGGCATTAATGCTATATGCATTTATATTCTGATAATATTAAAATCTAAGAATAATACAGGAGGTATTAATTGCAGTTACAGGACAACCTCTGGTAAAAATGTGCAAGTTTAAACAGTGTTTAATGTACTGATGTACTGTAATGACAGTACCTTACTGTGTATCAGGACTGTACAGGTGATTAGGCTGATCAGTAAGGACAGCATAGAAGACTGCATACTGCAGCTGAGCCAGAAGAAACTTAAGCTGGAGCAGGACATGACTGCTGCTGAAAAGGGTGAGGAGATGTACGCACACATACACTTTCTCAAATGCATGCACACTCTTTTTTTTTTTTAATAGGTTGGTAGATGACAGTTAATTATGACTGAGGTAATGCACTGATTTACAGACACATACTGAAAACCTAGTGTAAACTAAAAAATCTGAGCTAAACAAAAAAGAACATGATTACTCTTACTAGCCATATGGCTAAACATTTCTTTGCATGTCCTTCAGATAGAGCACAGTGAACATGTATCTAGTTCTTTGAAACAGACACTAGTTACTTCATTACCTCACATCAGTGATAAAAATGTGTGATCAGTGAACAAATAGGATAAACACATTCCAGCCTTGCACTGCTACTTCCAGCTATGTTAACAAGGACCAACTTCAACTCTATGCCTGTAGATTTCCTACTTTTTAAACCCTGCAGGGACAGCCAAAATCATGCATTTTTCTAACTACAAACAAATATTTGGGACTGTATATACACATTTCCTGGAAAAAATAAATGTTCTCCTTTTGTAAAATGTTGATTTACAATCTGATGAAATTTCAATGCAAACAGTGTTGTGAACAAAAGCTATAAAAAAATCTGTGGTAACTACACAAAGCTGTTAGACATAAAACATGTAGAGCATACAAACCAATTATAAGACAAGATAGCATGTTTCTTTCTAAATCTTGCTCCTGGCCAGAATTTTGCTTCAGAAGTCTTTACATATTTTAATTATTATAAAAAATGTGCCAAAAAATGTCCTGAGATGAGTGAGTCTCAAAGGTAAGGTTGGGTGTGAGTAGCTAGTGTTAGAAAGTAGTTGTTCCGGTGCCTGCCTTGAGCACAAACCCCTGGATGGTACCCTACCGTGTCATGAAAATTTGCTGGGCCACTTGTAAGTAATAAGTCTGAAGCTTCAGTCATTGTCATGACATGTATGTTCCTGGCATGCAGCATTTGAACTAAATGATTTGCATTACCCTAACCTCCTGACTGGCTTACAAATGAAAAATGAAGCATCATTTGTTCTTTAGGTGGTGAGGGGACAATACCTGAAGATATGGCATCTTTGCTCAAAGCCTCGCTGGGACTGTGATGCCCAAGCACATGAAATTTGAGACTGTACAAATGCATTTTTAATGGCATTCCTCTGATTCAGGGCCGACTTGAGTGTTATGACTGACCACACACTTTTGCATTTATACTGGAAAACTACTGAACCGTATGCTGCCAAGAACAAAATACTGATATTTGATTATTTCCAATGTAGCATGGTAGCTGTGCCTAAAACACGGTTTTTACAGGCTCACAATTTTTGCTCATACTTCGACTACACGATCTTTAGGCTAAACAAAAAATTGCTTTTATATATTAATGCAGTGCACGTGTTACATGAGAGGATTTTAAGCTGTTTGAATCTGAAAGAAAGTGCTGACCAAAATGCCACTTGTGCAGCATGTGTGGGACCACATAATCAAATCTGTGAAACTGAATATTTTGACTGCAACAGAAAATCTGAGTTTAAGTGCACCTTGCCCAGGTGAACACACAGCCTTTTATTATTCCTATTTAGATAACTGTACTGTATGCTAGTAAGTAGAATGACAGGATGTTATCCATCAAAACTGCTGGTATTTGGAATTGTTCTTACATACTGAAAGAAGCGGTAGATGGAGAATGGTAAACAGTGTCACATCTTTCCTGTCATACTTGCCAGTTCCGACTAAACAGCAGAAGTATCAGCCAAGTATCTGGAAAATTGTATTTTCTGTCACTGTAAGTGTAATGTTGAGTGTCATCCTGATGTCATATTTTAAGTCTAACCCTGTTACTATCAGTGATTCTTTTTTTTTTTCTCAGAAAAGACCTAGTTAATACACAAATATTCCAGTTTTTCTGGTGTGGAAAGCTGAGTTCAAGGACAAAGAATGTAACATAACATCTTACACAAATATGGTGCTTGAAACTGTTTCTTTACTGTTTGTAATTTTAAGCAAAGCAACACAGAGAAGACAATTTAAGAAAGCAGTTTCTGCATTTATGTACTGTATAGTTGGCTATTGTGTTGTAAGTGTATACGTGTTAATGGATTCTCTTTTACTAAGTCATTTGTATCATTTGTATGTTTTTAGGTTCCTGTTTGAAATGAATAATAAACATTGGAATAAATATTTGTGTGATCATGCCTGCAGGAGCAGCAGCCAGTAAGAAGGAAAAAATAGTCAAGGATCTTTTTAATGCCAGGTTTGACAACAAGGTCTGTGGAATTTTGTTTCTTAGTTATTTTTACAGTGTAAGGGTAAGGAATGGGAAGGGGAGATTGCAGAGTGCTGTTTAAAAATGAAGCTCAAAACAAAGGTCATAATAATACGTGATTACAATTTCACCAAACATGCATTAAAAGAAGATTTCTAAATTATGTTAAAGTAACAAAGAATAGCAAAAGGCTGAAATTGCAAATCTAGGAATCCTGAATTACTTGATTGCTTTTGTTACTGTATATGGTTTACATGGAATGAGTAAGAAATTGGTATGTATGTATCAAGTGTGTGTTTGGCTTTTTGGATATCAATGCATTATCAAAATACGACATTGCATCAAGCTGAACACAGCTCAGGGTTGTATCTGTAAATGACCTTGTGCCTAATCAGAATTTCTTTATTTTGGTATGCATGGAGAAGGTGTGGTGGCAACGGTCACTGGCTTTTCTTAATACTGAGGCATTACAAGGAGGATGGAATCCTACAGATGTTTAGAAAATGAATTTATGACATTGTATATCAGAAAACGGGGGCAAGTTTGTTTGGCATGCAAAAAGGCTGAAACATGCTTCTATTTAAAATGCAAGCAAAATGACTGAGAATCAAACAGATTTGATACTTAACATTATGTGTAAAGAAATTGTTAAAATTACATGTAATCTAAACACTGTAATGTAAAGGATGTAATCCTTGTAATCTAATAATCTACTGAGCACGGGGGGAGTACCGTCCACATCTGAAACCTGTCAAATGGGCATCACATTTGATGGTGTAGGTGAAATAGAGAACTCCTCTGTTGAGCTGACAGCTTAGACGGTGAGTTCCTCGCTCAGGAAAGACCACACATCTCCCCACTAGGTCATTGTAAAGTACATCTCTGTCCCAGACTTCCATCCTCAAATCCTGGCCCAGTTCAACTGAACCAAAGTTATAAGTTGCATTCCACACTGGGTTATTGTTGTCCATCACTGTCTCAGTCTCCTCGTATATACCGGTGTAGAAGATCTTTATGTAGGCGTCTGTTTTAGTAAAGGTGTCTGCCCTCAGACCTGCAGCTCTGTGGATGTCCAGTCTAAGAGTTCCTCTGCCAGCCCTTAAAGGACAGCAGTTATGATCCAAGTTGGGAGTCGGGGAGCAGTTCTTGAAACCAAGCAGGTCCTCCTGAAGCTGGTTTTCTTTAATATATTCTGTGACAGTGCTTCTCAGATTAGCACTGATCTGCAAGTCCTCCACCAACTGATGCAGAGGGAAGACAGCATAAGAAACTACATCAGGGCTGTTGTGGAGACTGTTCATCCAGCTGTGGTATGCTTCAGATGGTTCCTGATGGTAGAGGATATCTGGGAAATATCTCTCCCCTCCAATAACCTCGATCTTATGAGTCATGAAGCCTTGATAGAAGCCCATGGTCATATTGCCTTTCAGGATGTTGTCACACTTGTTGGAGAAAGATGCATTGGCAGGGAGAAAACCCAGAGCCATTCGAAGCTCAATGTTAAGGCAGTTTTTGATCTCGGCCTCAGAGAAACCCTTTAGTGTGGCCAGGCAGGTCCTGAAGGCAGTGATTCGCTTCACCTTACCACCAAGCTGGACCTAGGAAACAAACTAATAATAAAAATAAGGCAGAAAATTCTCAGCTTTCTAATAAAACGGATCATTGTCCCTCACTATGCCATGTTCCTCAGCATTATTTTTGCACTTGCCATATCAAAAAGACATTTTGCAGCACAAGTGCTACGATATAAAAGACAGGGGAAGAAGACCACACCAGTACCAAACGCAGTTATCTGACCTGATGTATGTAGTGTGTTCCATAGGTGTCTATTAGCCGTCTGTATAGGGCTCTGTTCTGGCTTGTGGTTAAGCTCTGTGGGAGTCTCTTCAGATGCTTTGTGAACTCTGCGCTCAACTGGGGATGATCAGCCAGCCTGTAGCTGAAATAGCAAAATATGTGGAGTTAAACTGACAATGCCAAGATAATCTTGACTTTTCTGTAACAAACATCACAAAAAGCCAAGTTCACCAGAGGGTCGCGCCATAGGCCATTTTAACTTTAAAATGTCTTCTAGTCAGATGACTGTTTTCAAAGTAAATGTATTTTGCAGCCTAAGATCCATCTGCAGGAAGGGGCATAATTCATATTTAAACTCATGTAAGGTTCTTTTGGCAAGCTATGAGCTAGTATATGAAGATAATTATATTATTGGTTGAGTTGTATTCCTGTACTTATTCAGTAGTGGAGTAAGGCTCTGTTTAGCCATCTCGCATGATGTTTAACTTTAACTACACACACACGATGCACTGTGGCTGTGTATCAGCACTGGACTGCAAGACATTTGCCTCATCACAGAAGCACATTTTTAGTTTTGAATTTAAGTCTAATTGATTAATGATCCCAGTAATCGGTCAACAAATTCCAACTCACTTCCCTTTACCTGTAGTAGGTGCAGCTGATTTCATGGATGGCAAATGTGGCTTTATCTACGCTGTGCTGCGAACGAGCAAATTTTGCCAAATCTGAGCGGCTTCCTCCCAGCACCGCTTTGCCAATACTATCAAGATTCAAACCAAGACCCCAGTTGTTGTTAACCAGGGAGTTGGAGCTGCGCAGAAGGGAGTCCACAGAGTGATGGAGGGCACTAGAAAGCTGCTTACTGCAGTGGCTGAAGGGACGCCAGTCAAGCACCGCTACAGGGAGCTTCTGAATCTGAGGAAGAAGAGACATAATAGGATGTATGTAGGGATGCAGATGGAAGTAGAAAATTATTTAAGGAAGTGTAAAATAATACATAGGGAGAAAAAACAGAAGGTGGTGCAAAAACAAGAAAATGTGTTCTGGATGGAAATTAGCGAAGGGCATTTAGACTAAAAAGAAGGAGAGAAGGCTGAGCAGCAGGTTTTACAGTTTTCACCTGTCCTCCTTGGAAGCGGTTCCGACACAGTGTACAGCTGTGATTATCAGCCAGATGGGCTTTGACATTGATGACATACGCCCCTGTTCGACGCAGCCGCACCACATCAAAGCCCTCCCCGGCCAGGTTGTGTCCTGGGACGAAAGGCGCTTTCTCACACTCTGACCCTGAGCCAGTCCAGCAAGCCTGGACACTGCAGGTCTCCAACATTATTAGCAAAGCCAATGTAAGCAGAACAAAGTTGCTCTGTTTAGATCCTCCTGCTGTCATGGTTACCTATATGTAACAGGGCACATTGAGGATGAGAAACTAAGCAATACATTTTGGATTTTAATGATTATGTTATTGGATCTTTTTGCTTTTTAAATGTTTCCTATGACATCTGAGCTGTCTCAAAATATTTTAAACAAATTTCCATAGATTTACCAGTGGGCAAACCTGCAGCAGAAGATGAGTTATGTACAGTAAATACATGAGCTTCTAATCCTCTGGTTTATAAACCAGGGTAATCCTGCCACAGATTTTGTGCCAACAATAAAACTATGCACAACAGAGACATTCGACGAGGACATGCACTCTTACCTTGCGATGTGTTTATGTTAACGCCCTTCAGTTTGTGCCTTTGTCTTCTTTAAGGAGTTGTCAGGCTGTAGCTCTATTGCCTACTGAACAGCTTTCTTAGATTTGAACTGTTTACCCTCTATCAAAGGCACCATAAACGATGAACTACGAACCGACTGAAGTCTTAATCCTGCTG